CCCGCTTCTCTGCGGCCTGGGGAGCACCTTCCTCTGCAGGGGAGCAGCCGCAGACCCAGCTTTCTGCGTCCCACCAAAGCAGACGCCCTGCTGGCGGGCGATTCCCGCTGTACTGTTCGCCTGCGTTCGCCAGTGAACACAGAAATTTTCCTGGAACGGAGGAAAAGATTGCTTGCTTTGAAGGCGATTTCTGGAGAACACAGAAGGCAGCACCTGCTTTGTCTGGGCAAGGCAGAAGAGAGGTATCTGTTGGTCTTCGATCCCCCTGAAGATACGCCCTTTAATGTAAAGGATGATCTGTTTGCACTCTTCGTGTGCAGCAATTCGCACATTTCCAGCATATTCATCCCTGGGACATCACAGGACAGATCAGGGTGACCGAGACCACCTGGCAGCTGCTGCTAGGCGGTGGCTTCAGCCCTGAGCCCGATGGCCTGCAGATGCCCCCTCCGTATCCTGGTGTACGTCTCATGGAGCACCCAGCCTCCTGCATGTTACATTCGGCAGTCACAAATGCAGGCGCTCTGATTTGGTTCTTTTGCCTTGGAAATCAACACACTCCCTTGGGCAGCACAGGGGGGGTTTGTAAGGCTGCGTGTGCTCGGGGCACGAGCTCACAGGCATCTGGGGGTTTTCAGAAAGTGTGGGTGTGAAGGGACTCTTGTAGTTTGAGTTCACCGTAGTGTGCTGACCACAAGACCTGTCTGGTAGACTCATACTCTTCTGCCCACAAAAACTGCCAGCTAAACAGTTCAAAGGTTCTTCTGCTTCAGGGGTCAGTGAACTCCATGAACCTTGGATTCTTAGGTTATGCCTCTAAAACAACTTTCAAAGTGCTGTCAAGAGATGATAAGCGTTGGAGGCATACACCCATCCCAGCTGAGCTCCACCACCAGCGCACAGGAGGCATTTTGTGATTTTTAATGGGGGTATTTCACCGTTCAGCTGAGGGAAAACTGGCTGGTTTGAGGAAGGAGACTTCCAGACTCCTGACTGGACAGCGTGCGCTGGATCCTCATTACGGATGCTGAACGGCAGCATGGTGAAGGGATCAATCACACAGGATGGGGTTTAATGAAAAGTCAATACAGGGGGAAGCAGGGAAAGGAAGAAGCAGTGTTTGTATTTCATGAATATCAAATTAATGTGATTTATAGTTGCACCGGTTTGGGTACAGCAACTATGGCATTCATCTCCACTATTGTTGTATTGAGGAGGAAACAAGCATCTCTTGAGAGGCTGGAGAGCAGCAAATAATACTCCTCTGATGAAAGATCAGGTGCTTCTGTGACCCTCATTACAGTCTTGGATGTATTTATGCTAACGAGGGTCCGACAGTGCTAGCTGTTGTGTCCACCTGGCCTGATTTTAATCATCTGTAAGTCAGGTTATTTAAGTCTGGGCAGCTTCGCTAGGCTTTGGCCACAGACGGTGAAGAGCACTTGCAGAAGGCAACTCCTGTCACCTTAAGAGAGGTACCCGGGAGGGTTGGAATGAATCCCTCCTCTGCGGGTGCCGGTTCCCCCCGTTAGCTACGGACAGGCTGCTCTGTCCCAGGCAGCCAAGCCCGATGGGAAGGAGGGCCCGTGAATCCTCACCCAGGGCCCTTCAGGAAGCTGGATGCAGAGATTTGACTCTAGACACCCTGCGTGCCAGGCTGAAGTGCAAATGATTGCACCGTCCCTCCTTTTCTAATCGGATGGGCAGGTAACTACCGAGCCAGTGGAAGTTTTCCAATACAGACGAAGGCTCTCTGCTTTTGGCAGCTCTTCCCCTGGCATTCTGCTGCAGCAGTAAATCACGGGTGGCTGAGGTTGGAAGGAGCTCTGGAGACCGTCTCGTCCAACCCCCCTGCTCGTGTGCATCTGTGCCGTTCTCAGCCCTGATACTAAAGCTCTTCTGTCTTTCGTAAAATGCAAAGATGCTGCCAAAAGTAACTTGAAAAAATGGTTTTAGAAAAAAAGAAAGGTGACAGCTGAGCACAGCTGTGCCAGCCGAGGCGAAGAGGCAAGCTGTCCTGCTGCGTCACAGACCACACGGAAGGGCCGAGTGGCACGAGACCACTAGCACCGCAGGACCGGTGGCCAGTCTGCTGCCTCTCCAGCTAGGGCCAAGGCTCCTTGCCGTCCAGGGCCATGCTGAAGGGCTCTTCTTGTGGCTTCACAGGTGCTGGAGGAGGTGAGCCAGGACCTGGAGAGGTTTGGAAACCGTCTGCTCACCAAGATCATACCTCTAGGATGGGAATGCGAGTTGAAGCCCCCCGTGTTTCAGCAGTACGATGCCTGGGGGCAGCGGGTGGATCGCATCGTCACCTGCTCGGCCTGGAGAAGGATGAAAGAGGTTGCAGCTGAAGAGGGGCTGATTGCTGAGGCGTATGAGAGAAGATACTCCAACTGGAGGTAACTGGGGGAGAATGGGAGTGACTCGGTGCCTTGCTGGTTGTTCTCAGCAGCGTATACCGAGCATCCTCCAGGACTGAACTTGCTGTGTAATGGGTAGCAGATGATGCATGGACAAAGCACACCTACTGCTGTACTGAACAGCAGTGTCTGTCCACTGTAATGTTCCACATCAGCAATGACAAGCCGTAACTAATGGTCTGCAGTTGATCTTAATATTCCTTCATGTCACCTTCCTGATTCTGGGGCCTGGCAGCTCCCTGCACTGCTCCAGCTTTACATGCATTAGTTGTAACGCAGATAAAGGTCTGGGATTTTACTTGCAGCTTCACTGTATTCCAGCCTCTGGAGACAGACCCGCAATTCTTATTTTTAAAAACTGCACTTAATGTGCACCAGCTGGCCAGCAACGCCTTCCCCCAGCCGTGCACTGGTGGTCCCTCTGGGACAGAGAAACCCTGCTGCTCCTCTTCTCTCTTCCCGGCTGAAACAGTTTTTGCCCTTTCAGAAATGAGCGGTCTGCTTCTCACCTGTTTGGTCTGTATTTTGTCCCTCTCTTCCTAGTCAAGACGTTTTATCCTCCTGCTGCTGAACTGCTCCATAACCTGCCTGTTACCACTCTCTCTTCCCTAGCCGTCTGCATCAGGCTGTCAAGCTGTACCTGTTCTCAAGCGCCTCTGGAGGCTTCAGCTGCCCGCTGGCCATGACTGATGGGGCAGCCAAAGTCATTGAGGTATGAGCTCAGGCGGTCTCCAGGGCACAGCCCACTCCCTGGCAGCACTGGGTAGAGACTGGAGCACCGGCCGAGGAGGAGGAGAGCTGGCCTGCCATCTGGCCCTTCCTTGCTCTGTGACTCAGCGCCGTCTCCCACTGCCTCTCCTTTAGTGACACAGGCTTTGTGCCAAGGCTAGCTTTTCTGTTTACATACAACACTCGTATGAGGCCTTTGCTGCACATGAAACCTGTGGCACTGCAGGTAGCTGGAAAGGTGTCCCCTGTGTGTTTACTGCAAGGTAGTTTGTTCTCCTGTCCCTTGTGTGGAGTGGCAGTTGGATGTCTTGGGCCAGATCCATACCTGGTGTAAATTAACCTTTCCCAGTCTGAAGGTCTGGCTCTGCGTCTTGATGATACCGTTTGCACCACATAACTGGCTATGTAGGGTGCCGAGAAAAGCTAGCCCTGAAGTTGCTAGCCCTGGGCATTTTAGTTCAACAAAAAGAAAAAAAGAATAAGGCAGTTACCTCTTTCCTGCCGCTCTTCGGGTGCTGGTGACAGCCAGCACATGTGGACATGTGCCGACGCCCTAGCACACGTGCTGTTTTGAAAGATCTCTGCCCAGATGTCCAGCGGCGCAGAAATCCGAGGGGGTAGGGCTGCTCAGCACTCCCCTTCGTGACACCGGCCGGCACCTTCTGTCTGCGCAGGGCTCCAGCAGCCGGGAGCGAGCTGGGCAGTTGCGCAGGCTCGCAGCAGTACGCGCAGACGCACCGCAGTGCGGCACACGCAGTGCCTCGCTCGCCCGCTTGCAGACCGTCCGTTCAGAGCTAGGAGACACCAGTGCTAGTTAAGGCAACTGCCTAATTTCATCTACTGTGTTGTAGTCATCTTAGTTTCTTTTCCCTCCCCCAAAACAGTCACTAGGTACTCCTGCATCTCTGAAAAGTGCTTTTGACCGTCTGACATCCCGTGACCCCAAAAAGTTCTGGACCTCTGGCCAGTGGATGACTGAGCGCAGGGGAGGCTCAGATGTCGGTATGTGTTCTGAGGTGGGAAGCAACTGCAGCAGCAGCTAGATGTGTTAGCAGGAACAGAGACAATGAAGGGTGCGGGGAACTTGGAAAGCCAGGTAGCTGGTGTAGGAAACTTCAGCAGAAGTCACCCAAATCCTCTGCATAGCTCTGCTTTTTAACCAGCAAAAGGCCCAACTTCTCTCCACTGATGCACACAGTGTGCACGCCGGCAGGTACAGAGCTGTGTTCTTTGCACAGATGACACACCGATGTCTACCTCTATCATCCAAACCTTGAGCAAGACAGTCAGAGCCATCCCAGCAGGGACTGAGAAAGCATTCGTGGCCTTCAACTCTTATTCCCTGGCTAATGACAGCAATAGCATGATGAGCCAGGAAACCTCAGAACTCGGCTGCAGAGACAGAAATGTGGAAGGAGAGTCACCTCCATCTGATGAAGCTGCAGTTGGTTTCCCAGTGGAAGAAGTGAAAGGGTCAGCTGTGAGGTGAAAGATGTGCATCATTGCAGGACTCCTGATTCCACAGCGCCCTTTGTTGTTCTTGGCCGTGGTAGCTCCTACAGCAATGGACACATTGGATTATACGCTGTGGTGCGTTCTGCTCACAAAGCACTTCATGACCAGCAGCTAACCTGGAGCAATTGCTGGAAAGGCTCGCAATTAAACAGAGCGTATTTCTTTCCTAGTACTTAATTCTGGCTGCATTGCTTATCCAGGGTCAACGAAAGAGATCAGCAGCTAATCCATACTCCATCTTGATAGCAAGAGGTGACTTAAGAGCTGCTGCTTAAACTGAAAATCAGCACTGATTGATACAGAAGTTCCCATAAAGCCAAGATGATCTTCTCCTTTCTTGCAGCTAACGGCACCGAGACGGTGGCCAGAAAGCAGCCAGATGGCACATACCATCTCTATGGTTTTAAATGGTTTACCTCGGCTGCTGATTCAGATGTGACGTTAACCCTGGCCAGGGTAGCAGATGCTGAAGGACAAGTAAAACAGGTCTGTTTGATGGTGGAATGGGTGCAGGAGCAGGAACATTCTTTTTCTTCCTTGTGTCACTGTAATTAAATCCTCTTTGCATGCTTTTTTTAACGGCCCCAGGGTTCCAGCGGCCTGTCCCTGTTCTTCCTGAAGGTTCGAGATGAGGAGGGGAAGCTGAACAGCATCCAAGTGCAAAGGCTGAAAGACAAGCTGGGCACGCGGCAGATGGCAACGGCGGAGCTGTGGCTAGATGGAGCTAAAGCAGAGCTAGTACGTAAGGTTTCACCTTCCTCTTGGGACTGGGCTGGCTTGGCACGGCAGAGCAGTCACGGGGGTTTTGGGAGTGGTACCGACTGAAGATTTCGTTCCTTTATTCCTTGACGCTCTCAGATCTCCACAGAGGGTCGTGGAGTGGCCTCCATCTCCAACATGCTGAACATAACTCGGATCCACAACGTCATTGGTGCAGTATCTTACATGAGAAGGTAAAGGCAGCATGGATCCCCCCAGAGCTGAAGGAGCAGCTTATCGGGACAAGGGGACTTTGCAATGCTTGGCATTGCAGCCGACGGACACCTAATGCCTTTACTGGCATAGGTCTGGAAGCCAGCAGTGCTGGAGAACGTTGGCCTGTGGGTGGGTGACCTAGGCTGGTGTGCTGCAGCTGAGCAGGGTTCTTCCAGTGGGGGTGGCTGGAAGGGAACGCTCGGAAGTGGAAGGTTGCTGGTCTGACTCCTTTCCCTGGCCGTATTCTCTCCAGGATGATCAGTCTGAGCAGGGAGTACGCCTGTCGGCGGGTTGCCTTTGGGAAGCTCCTCAAGGACCATCCCCTGCACATGCAGACGATAGCCCGGATGGAGGTGAGGCATTTGGGAGCCAAGCTGAACCTGTGGGTTAGAAGAAGGCACACAGTTCTCCTCCTCTAACCCATCCAGGCACTACTTTTCTTAAGTGGTGCAACACCAACGCTTGCCCTTGGGCTGCAGTAGATCCATGTAAATTTTTAAAATGGTATTTAAAAATCCTCTTGCAAGGTGGGTAGAGGGAAAGTGGTCAACATCTGTCAAAGATAACTTAAAGCTCCAGCATCTCCTAGCCTGTGGCCAGAACTCCATCCCTGAAAGGCCATATCCTGTATAGTCCGACAGCACATCATTATGCACAGGGGCTATGGAGCTCCGTATCCCGATGCTTCCCAAATCACAAATGCCAGGGAAGTAAGTTGCTTGGCAAGAAATCTGCCAAAGACCTTGCAGATCCTGGTGCTCAGAGGTTGGCCATCAGATGTGCGGTCTCGTGTCCCTTACCCTCGCAAAGGATGTGGATTTGTGACCTGGATGCCTGACAGGAGCAGTGGTAAGTCTCCGAGTAGGGCTGATGAAGTGGCATTGCCCCTTTCCTCATGCGGGACTGCGGTGTCCAGGAGAGGCAGCTCCAGATTACCATTACTGTGTCAGGCTTTGTGCCTTGACTGCTCAGTGGCCTTTGTCTCTGAAGCTGTGGGTCTGTCGGGGCAGGGGTGGCCTTTTGCCCAGGTCCAAGTGTTGCACAGCCCTTCAAGACAGTCTCATGGCACCTCAGCAGACCAGGCTGGAATCGGCCTGAGTCAAAAGACCTTGCCAGTGAAGCTCCCCACTCCTCTGCTCGCAGGTGCAGACACGAGGGGCTTTCCTTCTGCTTATGGAGATCGTTCGGCTGCTCGGACTTGCAGAAACCAACATGGCGAGTGAGCAAGACCAGCTTCTCATGAGGCTGCTGATACCAGTCGCCAAGCTGTACACTGGGAAGCAGGTACGGAACAGCCGCTTTGAGCCTGGAGTGGGGCTGCGCGGCACAGTAGCAACTGTAGCGCTGGAAAGCGGCGTGACCAACACGGCCAACGTGAAGGGCAGCGATGGCAGGGGGTACCGGCACCAAGCTCTAGCCGCAGGGCCTGCAGCAGTTACTGCTCTGCGCTTGGGCTGGAGATGGTGGGTCGGAGACCTGTCCCTTTGCTCTCAAGGCCACAGATCAGCCGTCCGATCAGGACGGATGGAGTGAGCACTCCACGTGTCGCAGAGGAATGCTGCTGTGGCTGCCCCGAGACCAAGGTGGGACACTGGGCCACAGGGAACATCTTTCCTCTCGTTACGAATACATAGAAGGTTGTTCATAGCTTACCATTAGCCTTAACTCCAGGGGTCTGTCCCTCTTCTGACTGTCCTCAGCTTAAATACACAGAAGCTTGCACACCACAGGCACGTGGAAGGTAAAGACTCTCCTGGACTGCAGACACTTACTCCCATGCACCAAGCAAACCACAGGTCCATCCTTACCTCGCGAGGCCAGCCTCTCCCTGCGCCTCCTCCCCAGGTCGGACTGTTCCTGCAGGTCCTCTCGGTGTTACTCAGTCTCCAGTCCGCGGGCTGCTCCTCCCGCACATAAAGAGCAACGTGCCCCGGCTAATCAGCGGGATCCCGACAGTCCCGTCCCAGCAGCAACTGCTGAGCCAGGTTAGAGCTTCTGGCTGCTCTTTCCCCTTGTGCAACGGATCACGTCAGCTCTCCACATTTTGCAGGCTTCTGCCGTGGTTGTTGAGGCAATGGAGAGCTTCGGAGGACAAGGTTACATGGAGGATACAGGCTTGCCAGTCATCATCCGCGACACTCTGGTAAGAAAGCAGCAGCAGAAGCTCCTGTGTGTCAAAGACATGCTCAAAGACAAAGCCAACCCCCCCCGACTGGCTCCCCGCCCCACCCCCCCCCCGACTGGCTCCAGGCATGACAGCTCTTCCCCAGTTGCCTTCCTTCTGAGCCCACTCATCATCAGGGAGGGAACATGATCTGTTCCCGGTGCTGGGGTTGTTTCCTAGCTCAGTAATGGAGCCGGGCCCCTGGCTGGCATCACCACTGCTCCTTTCTGCTGGTGGTGAGGCAAGAAATCTCGGGAGATTTCCTCGATGCCCCTTAGCCTTGGCCCATGGCTTTGTTTCCTCTTGTCCCCCTTCACTGCAGTTGCTCCAAAAGGCTGCTTCATGCTCTTCCAGCCTTTGCTACCCCACAGGTGCTGTCCATATGGGAGGGGACAACAAATATCCTGTCCCTTGATGTCCTGCGATCCCTCACCAAGAGTCAAGGAGAGGTGATGGCTGTGTTCTTCTCCGCAGTGCAGGTGAGCCCACACCAGAAGCACCGGTCAGTGTGATCTGCCCACCTGGGCAGAATCCAGTTTGGTGTTTATGCTCCGTGCTGAGCCTGGTAGGGAGTACAACCAAAGTGAAAGCGTTAGCCAGGTATTCGGAAGGTGTCTCACAATTCTGCTCTTTAAATCGCACTTACAAAAGCAGAACACAAGCAGTGCTCATTCTGGGATCCTTGTGTGCTGCAGAAAACGCAGCCACTTTCATCTCAGCAGTGAGGGGTTTTGCATTGTCAGAGTTCCTCATGACAGGCACCAAAATAAGTACATTTTTAATGTGAAAGAGTCACCCTCCTGAATCCAAAATAATTTTGTGGTTTTGTTTCTTAACTGGAAAAACACCACAAGACTGCTGAATACTAAACCTTCACTAGAGCTACCGACTGCATTATGACTTTCCATTTTTATTCCCAATGAAAAGATGTCAAGAACCAAAGGAATTCCATTGCCGTTCTCTGGCTTTATCTGCAGGCTGCTCTTTGAAAGGTGCTCAGATGACAGGCAGTCTCAGAGAGCTCAAAGCAGCTCAGAATTTCATGAAGGTAAATGAGCATCAGCCGGCTTGGTGCATCCCATAAAGGGAGACAGGGACCAGCCTGAGAGGTACGATTGGCGTATCGGAGGGGGTTGTCTCCGGGATTAGGTTATTAACCCAGAGAGATCCAGATGAGCGCAGATACAGTGAGGGAATCCCGGGCATCCCAAGTGCTGGATTTGACTGCGCGTAGCCTTCACTTTCCCATCCAGACCCCATGAGAAGGGAAGGGTCTGGCTCACTGCACTCCCCGCGGCACTGATGGCTGGGGGGGTCTTTCGGAAACACACGAGGAAGAGCCTGACTCCTCCTCACCAGTGGCTGAAGTTGGCAGCTTCAGCTGCCTCAGCTGATGCTGTCCAGAGCAGTGTGCGGCGTCAGCTTCCTCAGCTGATTCTGTCCAGAGCACCTCTCCGACCTCCGGAGACGAGCGTCTTCTTGCTGTCCTCTCAGACAACTTTGGATAAGGAAAAATACCTCAAACAATTTGACTGCCAAACAAGGCGGCCAAATCTGCTCGTAAGCAGGACCGAGCACACCTGCTAGTTAACAAGCCAGCCGGCCCAGCTGCTGACGAGCAGCAGTTTACTCTGACGGTAATGGAGCAGAGAAGGGAAGGAGAGGGTGGTAGGCTCTAAAAAGAACTTGGAAAGAAGCTGGCCTCCACAGGCTTACACTTCTGCTAATTTCAATGAGTACCCCACCAAGGTGCTGTGCTGCAGTCCTCGGAGCACCTCGCTGGTGCAGCTGAGAGGGCCCCTTCAGCTGCTTCACCACTGGATAATCTGGGAAGCATCACAGAACATAGCAACGTGATTCGGAGCAGGTACCTGCACAGCAGTAACACCACGTATTGAGATTGATTAATTAATGAGCTCATCACTGCTCTTGCGCTCCCACAAATCACGCTGTGTGCGAGATGGAGGGTGAACGAGCAAGCGCTGACTTTAAAGTAAGGCTTTAAAATAAATTCCAGTAAGTGCTGTTGCATTTGCTGCCTCCACGTCCACAGAGTGCGGCAACGGAGCCGCTGGCACGGGCTGAGCTGGGAGAGCCGCGTGGGTGCGCGGATTCTGGATAGAACGGATCGTGCGGGGCAAATTTAATGTGGACACATCGGAGCTCTTCCCGCACGCCTTCGGCAGCCAGGCACTGGGGAGGCAGACGGGGAGGTGTTTCTGCAGGGTGCCTCTGCGGCATCGGGCCGGCACGTGCCGAGTTCCTGCACCAGAACTGGAATTACACTCACGGGTGATAAACGACCTCTGTTGAGTCCAGGCGTCCCCATTTCAGTGGCCTCTGGGAGCCTGGCGCATTTTGAAACATCCTTCCCACACCCGTGTAGTGAGGAAATCAGCCCTTCATAAAGGGATTTTTACGGCTCCAACCCATTTCCTTTCGACTGATATGCACGAAACGAGTACAATTTACTTCATGTTTGTCCATCAGGGTTCTCAGCTGGCAGGTGTGCCAGGCAGCCTTGGTACAGCGCAGCACGTTGTCCTCTGCAGGTCACATCTCCAGGTAGCTTCCTCTCTGACCCCTCTGACCCCCATTTGTGCTTTTGTCCTGTCAGCCGCCTCTGCTGAAGGTGGGATCCCCCGTGCTGATGGTGCTGTGATCTAGGGGCAGGGACCCCATGTCGTAATTATCCTCAGGGAAAGGGGAATACAGAGAACTTCCTCATCTTTGCACAATGTCATTATGAGAAGCTGAATTTTTAGGGCTCCTGAGCCCCAGGGAGGTTTGTTAACAACCACCTTGTCCCGAGGGAATTGGTCTGCGAAGCCTCAGGAGAACACGTGGCGAGGAGAGCAAGTGTGAGGGACGGTCCTGGACTCCAGCTCCGCTGCGCTGAGGCTTTCAGGTGGCTACTGCATGGGGCAGGCATTTCATGTTGTGCTGAAAATTTATTGGAACTGGAATTTGGAGCCAGAGCACTGGGTGTGCTGCAGAATTCGATTACAACCTGACAAGTGACTCTCACGTAGCACCGGGGAATTACTTGATTATTGCCTTTTAGTCACTGTAGATTAAGCCTGGTCGCACCGCAGTGCAGCGTGCTGCTGAGTGCCGGTCCCGCCAGCGGCCGGCAGAGCTCAGAACCAACCGCCTTCTGCACCAAGCACGACCGTGCAGGGCCGAAACGCGAGCTGTGCATCCAACACACAACCCAAGACACGCGACAGTGTTCTCAGGCCCTTTTCAGATCATAACCACAACTTTAGCGCTGCAGGAAGTAAATCTAGGTTGTTAAAGTGAGACTGCGTGTTTGCTCGGAGCGTTAGCAGGAGACTTGTGCCTCCAGTCCTGCCTTGGATGTTCTCCCTCTTGCTGTATTTTTAAATACTCACAATTGGTCTTTCAGTAAAAGCCGTTCTGACAGTCTTGCTTGGTAGCTAGCGAGAGCAAACAGATGAGTGGCATCTCAAACTCCTGCAGTGAAAGCCAAAGGAATCGGAAATACTGGAGCTCTCAAGCTCTTCTGAGTTCTGGTGGTCTCGGTCAGAAGAGAACCGCGTGACTGGCAGAGCGGTGCCGCGTGCCTCCTGCGGTTACACCCTGCAGGCCCGGAGCCTGTCACCACGCAGGGGAGAACCAGGAGCTGCCTCCAGCATCGTCCCCGGGGCAGCTCTCAGACGCAGGGGGGGATCTGGAAACACCCCACCTTCACCTTTCGGAAGATGCAGTGCTTTTGGTTGGGAAAAGGAGTGTAATCTGAAAAAAGAAAAGTGTAAATTATTGGAGAGCAAAGAGAAGACAATGTCTGTTTTTCCCCCTGAGGTTAAAATGATGCTTTTGCATCCCGGGTTGGTACTGCCCGGGTCGTCAGACCCCCGGCGCAGGGCAGCGGCAGGAGGTAGCCTTCA